CACAGAGGTACCGAGGTTGGTACAGTCATCTGGATTCAAGGCCAGAAAAGGTCAGCTTTCAGAGAGGTTTGAGACGTAACAATATTCTTGATTGCATTTCTCTAGCCAGTTCTTTACTTTTCACCAAATCATAAAACAATGATGCACTTGTGTAACTTTAATTATTAAAGTTAATCTGCTTTTGTAACTTATTTATACATTTTTGGATCTTTAGTCATCCATTGTATTATTCGATTTCACGTTTTGTAACAAAGATGCATAATAAGCAGTAAAAATAATGTTTGTAAACCCTCAGCCAAGAAATCCAATTTTCATGAAAAATCTAAATAGTGATAACTTAGTTGTTGTTCTTATTCATCAGCTAACAATTCCTGGGATAGATACTATATGTGAGAATAACACAAATGTCCAAACAGCTAATTTCATCAGAACTCGAATAATTAGGTAATAAACACGAATAAAAAAATATATCAAAATTTCACATACAGTACCTACTGCAAGTTTCTCTCAAAAATTGCTCAATACTTATGCAGTAACTAAATGAAAGGGCTAAACGAAAGAGAAGGACTACTTCAATGAAGTTTAGGTACTGAATATCTAAAAGATAAATTGCAAAACTATTTGTTATATATGACCTTTTGGAGTCTGTTGTTTAAGGTGCTTGATTTGCAATCTGTGGGAATGAGGTTGAAACCTTGTACTGAACATGCTTACCCTATCAGTCCTGTGGTGTCACAATGTGACTGTCAATGCCACTAATCATGAGTATTCTAAGAGTTCACTGTGAATACTGCTAGTAGGTAAATTTTCGTGTGGTCAGCAGTTCAAAATTAGGAATTGTGACAGATAGGCTTAGTAGCAATGCCATATATACAACATATTCTTCTTTGCTTGCACTCTAAAGTTCTTTAAAATAAACAACCAAATAACACTATGCTTTATAATATTGTTATCAAAACCATTTTCTGCAATGTCTTAAATTCCCATGTTGACTTTCAATGACTTTTCTTCACCAAATAAGTGTTCAGAGTATCAATGAAATTATTCTGTTGTTTAGTAACTGTTATGTAAAGCATGGTTTCCATTCCTTTTTGGTCATGTAATTCTTAGAGAAGAACCATCTAGCATTGGATTTAGAATAATATAAGCCAAAGTGCTAAGAAATTTAGGATTTCAATAAGTATAAACAATCAGTATTTTGTGTTTTGCTCTAAAGAACTTATTATTGGCTGACAACAATCTCTTAAACAACTGATAAATGAGAGCTTTCAAACATTCTGCATATGGGCCCGATTTATAACTTAGTTAAATTATATTTTTATATAAGACAATTTTAATATATATTGAAGCAGAAAATTATACAGGGTGATTCAGAATTTATGGAACACTGCAGAATCATATGCAAAGGAAAAATGTTTATGACAAAGACACTCCTAATGCACCATTTGGCCACTAGAAGGTTCTTCAGATATAAAGATGTTAAATGGCTACACTTTTTCAGTACTCATAGTAAAAGAATATGTTAAGAATGTCAGAGCATACACTTGCAGAGTGCACTGAGATAATTTACCTTTATTGCAAAATTTCAAACAGTACTGCAATGGCTGCTAATTTTATTAGCAAACATCTTAAAAGAAGCACAGTACCAAGATCATCAGTTGTCAGATTAGGGGAATGATTTCTGCATACAAGAATTTAACATTACTGAATGTTCCTTTTGTGGCCAAATGGTGCATCACAGTGTCTGTGTCATAAAATCTTAAAACATTTTTCCTTTGTAAATTGTCCTCTGGTCATGTGCCTTTCAGTTTTCATAATGATCTGACAATGTTACATAAACTGAGTCACCCTGTATTCTGAAAGAAATTCCCACCACCAATATTAACATTGTCATACAAACCATGGGAAGACAAGATCTGCTAAATAAAGCCCATTCCATGGAGCATGCTCAAAAAACCAGTATCTGCCTCCTCCATAATTCACAAATATCATCACCAGTAATGCAATGCTAAGGAGAAAAAAGAAAGGGTAAATTTACTTCGTAAATTAAATAATGGTTATCTCTAACCACAGATATACATCAGTTACTGTTATTCCAGTTCAATGAGCATGATGGAAGAATTATTTCTCGTTAACCAAAATCATTTTATTACAATAGCTTTTCTGAAACAGGACCATAAAAACAATTGTACAATGAGTTAATCCAAACTGAAAAGTTTTGTTTGAAGTAATTAACTTATATCTACATGTTTACATACCAGTAATATGAATCAAAAATGTTGCTTCATATACGTACCATGTAATTTTTATTTAATTCTAAAGAAGTAAAACTGAGACAGAGTGAAGTTTGAATTGCATTCCTGCTTGCTGGGCAGATTCATTAACTAAGTGACCTATTAAGTCTTAAAAAAAAATGCAAGCCTTAATCTTCACTTAATTAGTTTATCAAGGCTCTGAATCAATGGTAAAGTGGATTTTAAGGCCCATAAGAAGAATTGTCAATTCAAATCCAGCATAGTATTTTACTTACTTCTTGAGAAACATTTAGGTGTTATATGGCTTGTATTTTTAACAACTTTATGTAACATTAAGAAAAAAAAAGGATATTACATTGTTAACGTGTATGGAATAGTAATTTAATGCAGAGATAAAAAAAAATAGAGCACTAGATACAAATACAGCCGGGAATTTATGCTATACCATTTGCAGACATCTTCAATGGACTTATCTGTGTTTATACATATATATGTGTGTGTGTTGTACATGTTCATATTGTTATACAAATAAGTTGTATTATACTCATCATTTCATCAATAAAAGTCCATGGAGTCATCTTTATGTTTTCATCATCAGTTTTAATATTGTTGGTTAAGTCAATCTCTTCTGCAAGAATTTACAATTGTTAAAGATGTGTCATACTTCTGTGAAGTTTGTTAAGGATGCATTTATTAACACTGAAACATCTTTATTAACTGTAACAAGAAGTGTGGCCAAAAAACACAAATGCATCTAGATACAGAAATCTGAGGTTGTATTATTTATGTACTTTCAATAATTCTGGCAAAGGTATTGCATTATCAGATTCCCAAGTGTTTAAAATAAACTTGATGTGGTGTACCAATAAATTTTATATTGCACTTTAGGAACTCTGTACAAAAAGCACTTGCAGATTCAGTTCATTAGCCAACTGTTGAGGTTATAAAAAGCATACATGGAAATCATCCATCTGTTCTCAGGTTATGCAAAACACTTACTACACTAGCAAAATCCATGATCTCACTAGCATAGTGGAATACATCCAAAAATAAGGCTAATTATGAATTCAAAATCCACCCGAATCATGTGCATTTTTTGCATCTGCTGACACACTTGCCTTGGTGACATTTTACTGAATATTCTGTCATGTTTTCCTAATAATAGAAAACTGTTCATCTATGACCTTCAAAGCTTGGCAGTGTGAATATGAAGAGCCTTAACACATCTTTCACGACTACTAACACTTGAAGTCCATTATTTCTGTGTCTGTATCTTTTTAAAGATAAGTGTTGCAGTGACTGCTGGCATGGATAAATGTATAAAGGTTCTGAACAAGTTAAAAAAAAGCAAAGTGCATAACAATGTGTATAAACAGCACATGATTGTTTTTTTTCTGAATAAGGGTTTATAAACATGACCACTTACATTTTTTAACACCATCACAGAGTATCCTCCTAGCTTGTCAAAATACACATCCATTTTGATCAGTATATTCTCTAAAATATGAAAGTTCTTCAGGTTTTGTATTTGCTGTGTCTTGCTGTTGTACTATTTTCTCAATTTGGCAGTCATTTTTCATAACTTACTATAGAGCAACTGCTATTTGTTCCCTACCCACAGTGTTAGAAGTTTCAATAAATATCACCCCAAAATATCTGGCAGTGACTGAATGATTTCTAGTCATATTCAGCCACTGCCAGATATTTTGGGGTGATATTTATTGAAAATTTGGCAGTGGCTGAATGATTCCTGGTATTTTTCTGTATAACAACAGCTAAAGCAGACATCATGTCATTTTGAAGACAATTTGTTAAGTAAGTGGCATTTTTCTACACATGGGTCATTCCTTTATGCTTAATGGAATACTGGCAACTAAGATGGTCAGTAAGCTTCAAGAAAAATCCCTTATCTGAAAAAAAAATCTAAAAGGCATGAAATACAATCACTGTTTTACTCATTTATTTTTTATGTTGTGCTTGCATTGCCTCACTTAACATCAAATTCTCTTGTACTTTTTCACACACAATATGGTTGATACAGTATTATTCTGTGCTGACTTGTCTTTGGATACCCTTTAATTTTCTCAGGTTCTTTCTTCCACTTGCAACAGTCAGATGTGATCCAAGCTGGATCATTTTGGTTAACTTGCATTACAACAACCTGCATGCAAAATTAAACATTATATGTATATTTTATACCATGCTGAATTATACATGCATAATTTATTTCTAAACATTTGTTGGGTATATCTAGTCAGCACAGATTAATGTGGTCCTTTCTTTACAATACACAAAAGCACTGTTTCATTACTCAAAACAAGCAGCCCATGATCATTAACATTCTCACATTCAGAAAAGCCTTTGGCACATCAGTCAAAAAAGTTTATGTTGCTACACCTTCATGTGTTATGTTGAAATTGCTGAATTATCCTATTCAATGAAAGTTAGTTAAGACCCCAGTTTCCTGATTAGCCATTTCAACTGATGGCTGACTCTGTGATGATGCTGGCATTATTTTTAAAGAATGTTCTTAAACCCATGGTTCTTTTTTTTTTATTCTTTTGTTTTAAAATTAGTGATAAGCTTCACTGAAGAAGTGGAACATTTTGGTGTTGATTTTCAATAACACTCTCCCCCTCTTCTCTTGTGTAGCTCCAGCTGATGTCTAAGCTTGACCTACCTTAGCATGGATACTCTAAGAGTTGATATACACAGATTGATACTCCAAATGAAATAAGTTGTTTTTATAATTATTATACAAGTTTTAAGATTTTCTATGAAAAAAACAAGATCATGCAGACTATAATAAACAGTTTTTTAATTAATATGCAGGTTTCCAGTATTCAACTCAAGTCTTTAAAATAATGTGCCATTTGCAATATTATATATATTTTTTTATCTTATTCCCTCCCCTTCAAAAAACACAATTTTTTTAAATAAACTGTAAATTAATGGAGCAGGTAATATTGCTTTACTATTAAAACGATTTTATTGTTAAGCTTTCATTCCTTCTTTAAAAAGCATCAAAATGTAAGCCTATATGAAATATGTTCTGCAAGTTACTAGTTATTATAAACAACAATTTAGAAAAATGATCTTTCATGAAACTAGCTTATCATTCCAAGCAGAATAAATTTTTCTTTCCCTTTTACATACCCTCTGAATGTATCCAAAGAGCAAAGTCTTGTTTTTTGTGGAGGTGTTGTCTGTTGACTGTTTTCCTTTTCTGCTGTGCAAATTTCCTTTCATAAAAGATGATTCTATATGTTATCAATTAGTAGAACTGACATTTTTTTATGTAATGAAAAAATAAATCCTCTAACCCTTATTCAAATGAAATGTTTAGCACTTTAAGCAACTATTTGAATGAATAGTAAATTGAACAATAATAGATAAAAATGGCTAATTTACTTGATAGATTATATGATTGCCATTTGAAAAGTTTATGTTTGTAATTAGTTAACAAAGTTCTTATCCATAATATGCAAAAGTGGTTCAAGAAACACAAGGGAGATTGAATCAAACTAGGTTCTGAAAATTCCTTGTACCTATACATTTCCAGTATGAATGTTTTTAAAAAGGCTAACATTTGGTGTTTAAACAATTTTAATTATACCAATATAAATTATGTTCATTGTGAAGTACTAAAGGTCTTCGATAAAGAATAGGATTAAGTTATTTTTATCAACAGCAACAAAAATTTACTTATGTGTGCATAAATAATTTTTTATTTAGTTTTACAAGTGTTTTTGTGGAACAACGTTTCTACCAACAACACAAGATGGTGATAGTTATTAAAATTGCATTAAAGAAACAAAATAGGGTGAATACTCAATTTATTATTCATAAAAGCAACAAACTACCCAACCATGGATGTTCCAGGACAGTCTAGTTCATGACTACAATACACCTGATAAAAGATTCATAACATAACATATGAAATTTAAGGACAACAAGGGACCTGCATGTCCATCTATGCCATCCCATCCTTAACTTAAAAATCGAAAAAAAATTTATATCTAGCTTTTATCATTCAAATATTTATCAAACTATCCCTTAAACTCCCTTAAACTAAATGCATCCACCACATCTGAAGGTATCCCATTCCACAGGCTAACTACCCTGTTAGAAAAATAAAACTGTCTTAGCTGAAGACTACTCCAAACTGCCAAAATTTATATTCTACCATTAATTACAAAGAAAAGGATAATGAATTTACACTATCCAGAGGTGTCAGCACCTCATACAGATAATATTTTCATTTTTTCTCAACAAAGTGTTCAGTATCAGGTTTCTCTGTACTATAATCGATGGAGATACTTTGAGCATTCTTAGGGGGTGGGGAGATCGCTCTCAGTTGAGATTGTCAATGATCTTATTCATAGTGAGATGGAGGCATTTATTTGGTTCTGTGGTATTCATCTGGGGAGCTCTGAGGCTGCAACTGAGGGCGATCCTGGACATTCTGGAGAAAATTTTGATTCGCTTTCTCCTGAAATTTCATTCATTCTGTTAGCTTCTCAGTTTTCTTGTGGTACAGGATAAGTTTACAAACTTAAAGTGCTGAAGTTCAGGGTTCAATTCCCTATCGTGGACATAGCAGATGGGCCAAAGTTGTTTTGCTCTAATAAAACAACCTTACCTGATAACATCTTGTTCCAAACAATGGTAATCAGAATGTCTTTAAACAATGTCAAAATGGAGGCCACTTTGGGATATGCTGTCTCTGATTTGTTTTCTTCAGTTGGTCTATGTGTGTTATGGTTTGGGTCTTTTCCCAGTGGCTTTCGAGCCTGCACTTACTTGATGGCTGTAAAGTCTGGTATATTTAGTTTTCTCTCCATCCACAGACATTGTGGTTCATGCAGGGAGTTTCCTGCTTAGTTACGTGACGGGATAGCTATGCCTCATTTGCCATGGTTGTCGGAGCTACGTAATTTCCCCTACTACCACCATGTGGAAGCATTTTCCAACTCTAATACATCTCCTTCTCGAAGTTAGAGGTTTTAAAGCAGGGTTTATAGTTAAACTGAACAGTTCAATGTCCTCTGGTGGAACAGCAGTATGTCTACAGACTTACAACTCTAACATCCAATTCGTTTTCCTAACACTAAACTTTGGTGGAAGACTTAGGATCACTAACTTCATTGATGAGCTTGAACCAGTGTTAGTATACACATTGATTTGATTGTCAGCTTCTCCATTCATCCATGTTGTCATTGGCATTTTGACTTTCATTAGCTCCTACAGGAGGTCATCAGCCCCTCGGTACATTGGTACCCACAATAGATTCATATCCACAGTTTCCACAGCAATGTTGGTGATTATTGTATGCCTTTCAGGGTCCCTTACCTCAGTTTCACAGGATATCACTCTGTAGTGAGTGTTACCCATGCAGGTGTGCTTTTATCAAACCAATTTCGCACTAGCAACCACTAATTCAATATACTTTATCTAGGTTGCAACAAACTCTGTAGAAATGAGGTGTTCCATAAGACCACCTACAGGCTGACTAGGTGGTATTATTGTACTATGCTGGACTGTTGTTCATGGACCATAATGAGTAAAGCATAAGAGGATCCTGCCCATCCCTGCCAATCATTGGATTGAATAATCTCTGGTCAGTTTGCTTTTAAAAATTTAGGGAGCTTGGTTCACTTATTGCACTGTTCCTTAGGACTCCCCAGTGCGCATTACCACAGATTCTACTAATGGAGCTAGAGAGTCCTTAGCAAACTTGGTTTCCAGTCACTGGGATGGTGGACAGAGGCTTTTTCCACCAGTGTTAAGAGTAAATTGCCTCCACTCTTGGAGAAGAGGATGAAGTTGGGGGCCCTCTTACCCTAGTCCCTGGATGTTTTTTCCAAGATGTCAGAAGGAGAGGCACCAGCTTACATGGTAGCTTACTCGTAATACTGGTTCAGATTTCATGCTCGGCTATCCGGTTGGGTTGAGCGTAGTCCCTCTTTTTGATCAATATTAGTTCAGTACATTGTTCATGGAAGACAGTCCATTGTCTCCTCAGAATTACAAATGCAGAATGGTCCCATCCTGGGTCCTTAGTTGAGCACAGTTGTTCCACATCCTCCACATAATTCCAGAGGCAAGCGGAATTTACCTTGCCCACATGGTTTGGGGAGTGATTAAGAGTGTTCTTTATTCCAGAGTGGATGAGTTTTGTTTCCTTAGATTGAATAAGGCATACAAAATCCTGTCATTCCAAGCCTGGAGTGTTGCCTTTTGGACTTCTTCAGGTTTGTCCACTTCAATGTTGCTTACCTTCTCCTCATGATTCTGGTGGCTCAGAACATATCACTCTATGACTACAGGTTAGAATCCAGTGACTTGTGTGTGTGCGCGTATGTATTTATATATATAAATCTTGCAGTCCAATTGCCCAAACCACTAATGTGGGATATAGGGACCATGGCCCTCTATGTCAAACCCCAAACAGTAGAACCTTTGCTATCTGGTTGGGACCTGGCCAATAGTGATGATAAATCGTGTAACATTCCACCCACAGTACATGAATTAAGTTCTGGGTGAAGAGCATTCCTGTTCTGTACATAGTGTGGTTCCTCCACAAGCGTGTCAATCTTCTATTGACATACCCATGATCTATGCAGATGCATTCTGTATGGATAATGACCTCACTGGCCCATCCACCTCTCAATGTAAGATTCTAGCTGTAAGAGTGAGAGGAGGTAAGTATGTTTTGGAAATTAACATTTTCTTAAATTGAAAATGTATTTCCAATAAAACTTGCCTCCTTTCACACTCTCCTGCCCTTCCTCCCCACTAAGAGCCAGTGTTAGAGACTGCAGATTGAGTCAGTCTTCAAAAAGTGATAACATCATCTGAATGAGGTGCTTTTATACAGTACCATGGTAGAGGGCACAATGATGTAGGTGGAGAATGTCACAAGACAAATATTGCCAAGGGTAATTAACGGGAGTATAAAAGACCGGAGTAAGCGAGAAAAAATCAGACCATGTTGAGATGAGCAAAGGAAGAAACCCTGGCAGTCGAGTAATAGCTGCAAGTGTGAGAGGGGGTAAGTATTATTGGAAATACATTTTCAATTTAAGAAATGTTAACATCTCATTGTAAAATCTGTATGTTTAGTCAAGCACTCCTACTTTGCAACTCCTTCCTACATCACTGTGGTCAATTCCCTTAACAATCTTAAACACCTCCAATTCTCTCTACTTCTTCCTTTTTCAAGAGAAACAATTTCAGAGACCTTAACCTGCTTTTGAATGACAAAATTTCTATCCCAGCTGTCACCCTAGTAACCCTCCTCTCAAGTCTTTCCAACAATCCAATGTCCTTTGTAAGATAAGAAATCCATAAATTGAACACAGTACTCCAAATATGGCCTAAAAAGTGACCTATACAATAAAATTATAACCTATTTAGACTTGTATTCTATATTTCTTTAGATACAACTTAAAATCTTATTTGCCCTACCACTAGCAACAGCACATTGAATGGCTTAAAAGCTGATCAATCAGAATACCAAGATCCTTTTCTTCCATAACACTGTTAAGGTTACTTCCATCAAAATTCTAATTCAAATTATGATATCCTACCAGCATTACCTTATCTATTATAATTAAAAGCCATCTGCCATTTAAATGCCCGACTCACCAAATTATGTATATTCTTTTGTAAAGCAGGGACATCCTGACAGCCAGCAGCACCCAAGATTTTAATATCATCAGCAAATTTAAGTAATTTATTAAATATTCCTTAATTTATGTCTTTGATATAAATCAAAGAGTAAAGGTCCTAACACTAAACCCTGAGGTACCTCACATGTGACAGTAATCTAGTTTAACTGAACTCTCTGCTTTTTTCCATCCAGTCAGTTATCTATCCAATGAATCAACTTATCCCCCACACCTATAGAGAATTTGTTTTAACAAGTCTTTCATGTGGCACCTTTTAAAATGCTTTCTTAAAATCCAGATTCATCAAATAAACACCCATACCCTTATCTACATAAGCAATAATCTCTTCAAAAATGTCACAAGATTAGTAAGACAAGATTTTTCTCTAGTAAAACAATGTTAACTATCCAACAAAATTTTAAACTTTGTTAAATGTCTATATCAAACATCTGTTATCAGACTTTCAAAAACTTTTCACACCACTGATGTAACTCTGATAGCCTATAATTATCAGGTCAGTTTTGGTCACCTCCTTGTAAAGGGGAGTAACATTAGCCAACATCTAATCTTGTGGCTCCTGCCACTATTCAAGGACTTGCATATCCAATTCTTAACCGCTTTCAAAACCCTTGGGTAAATATTATCTGGCTTAGGAGCCTTATCATTACATTAAACTTCACAAACTTTTTTTTTCTTAACAAACTCATAAATAAAATAATTTTGTTTGACCTTGATTCCATCTATCAATTCTTCAGGTCAAGGAAAATTGTTTAAATCTTCATTAGTAAAACTTGAAGAAAAAGTAGAATTAATAACCCCAGCCATCTCATAATCATCAGATATGAGCCTTCCTTTATCATCCCTCAAAGGTCATACTCCTGCCTTAACATTTTGCTTACCCATAATGTACTTAAAGTAACCTGTTTGACCAACTCTCTATAATCATCAATATGAACTTCTGAAATTTATAATGTTTTTATTTAATTTTATCCCTTATACCCTTTGTGAGCTAACCTGTTTTTTTTTTTTATTTGCAGCAAACCTACTTTTTTTTTTATAAAGAACATGTCTATTTTAAGTATTAAAAAACATATTTAAACACTTTGACATATTTGGTCAGTATCTCCAATTAAATTAGTTATCCAATTCACAACAGATACTTCTTATTGCATGCTTTCAAAATTTGCAATTTGAATTTTTAGCCGTAATTTCATTATTTTTAATTTCCATATACAGTAAACATCAAGCCAAACTGACCAATGACTTGTACCCAGATGTTCCCAAATCTCCACCCTCTCAACCATATCTGTATTAAAAGTTAACATTAATTTTGAAATGATTACTCATCTCTGTACACAGTTCAGCCATCTTCCTCAGCTCTTCCACACATTCTGCCAAAAGGGTTTGCATGTCACTAGCCTTGTGAAAACTCTCACCTAATTTTACGTGAATTTGTGCCACAGCATGATGATGTCATCATGCAGCAAAATCTCTCCACGAATAGGAGGGCAACACACCTCCATGAATACTAAAACACCCTATGCATTTGCACTCATGAATCTTCATTTTTGTTGTTAGCACCGTATTTACCAGATATGTCTAAATTTCTTGTCTCTGTTTAATTTAATGAGGTTTGCTTCATTAACAAAACTCTGATTTTCATTATCTTTAGCTTGTTTTAAAAGCTGTCATATTTTATCACAACTTCTTGAATGACAGTGTTTTATACTTAGTCCTGTGTGTAGGACATTATTCACATGTTGGCCTTATTTCTGCTTTGTCTTTTGGAGGCCATTAACTGTTAGAGTCATAGTAGCCATTGCTTAAGGTGTTGTGGATTTCCACATGCTTCATGGGCAAAATGGGCCCATCAACTCCTCTGTTGACATGTTCATCTTGGAACGTTAATGTTCGCATTCTATTCATCATCTTTTTCATTCTCTTTCACCTCTTTTTTGCTGGCCATTGGATAAGCTTTTTCCAGGCAGGCACGTGGACTCTCTTTACACATCAACCTTCATCTCTATATTTTTGGGCTGTTTTATCTCCTGATAGCTTCAGCTTCCATGGGTCACCATTCTTCCACCACCTCACTATTTTTAAGTAGAATGATCACCATTTCCCTTTCAGGACCTCTCTTACATTCAATAGGATCCCACTAAGTGGATAGTGTTGCCTCCCAGGATATACTTGAGCAAAATCTGCATTAAGCCAGGATAATGGAAAACACTCTTACCATCTGATCTTGCTCTACACATGTTCACTAGGAGATGGAGTGTTCTGCAAGACCACTTGAGGTTTTCTCATGGTGTGTGCATATATATCACATTTCTTGTCTAATCCAAATTGTACCTCTTCCATGGACCATCATGAACAAAGCCAGCACCAGAATAGTGTTTCTGCCCACTTCTATGGCTCATGCTTGCTGGCTTTTAAAGATAGGTTTTGGTGGTTACCCATTACACAGTTTCCAGTAAGACCTTTCTCTACTGAAGGACTGATGAAGATCAAGGTTTCCTCTATGCAAATTCTCTCCATCCCTCCTTGTCCAGTGGAGTATGGAAAACTCTTACCACTTACCAGTTTATAGCCACTAGAGTGATGTACCATGGAGAATCTTCACCGATTGGGACTTAACTGCTGGGGCTAGAACATGGGGTCCCATTACAAGGGAATTAGGTCTGTGATTACACTGGAAGCATAATGCATGTCATCCCACATATATATGTATGATACATCATGTATTGCAAACTACATATGAACCGATGATACAACTCACTATACCAATCCATTCAAAACCTATATCTCACAAGTTCTCCTCCTGCAGCCAGTATCTGTTCAGTAAAGTTGAGGTGAACATTACTACTCGTCCCTACTACATCTAAAACATATGCTACTCCTGCAGCTGGCAAGAGACCCATAGAGACTAATGGCTGAGTAGAGGTGTATATAAGTATTCATACTGAAATACATTTATACAGTGCCCTCCTCCCACAGCTGGCATGAGGTCTGTAGAGACTAGCAGTAGAGGAGGTGAGCATGGATACTTATCACAAGGTAGTCTGCATGAGCCCCATCCTCACTATACATATTGGCTGTCCAACATCTTCTGTGCAAGTACTCAGACAGCCATCAACCAATGCCTTCTGTCCAAATGACACAAATCTGGTTTATTTTCCTCTCTACTTTCTTATGCAGAAAAAATGTATACCCTGGCTGAGATGAGATGTGGTATCCATGGGTGTGCCCCTATAAAGCCCCTACCATTAGGTGTCACACCCCATGGGCTTCCTTTGTATGCTTTATGAAGGGGTTAATCTAGGCAATCTTTGCACCGGTCCCTCCACCGCCTCAATGTGGGATTCTAGTTAAACTGTGTGAAGGTGAATATTACTTCTGGAAGTTAATATTTTCTTTGCATGAAAATGTATTTCTGATAGATACTCACTTCTTTATACATTCTCCTCAATTCCAATCCACATTTCTTACTTGCCTCGTCAAAGAATTAAGAATCACGAGTGCAAATCCATAGGGGGAGTTAGTGGGCATGAAGGTATGTCACCCTGCTATTAGTGGAGGGCTTTTGCTGCATGAAATTAGATAAGATTTCACAAGGCTAGTAGCATGCAAGTCTCTGGCAGAACATGTATAAGATAGCTAAACTGTGGAAAGAGGTGAGTAACTATCTGAAATACATCTTCAGTAAGGAAAATGTTAACATATAAAGCAGAATTATTCCTAGCAAATTGGCAAAGAAAGCCACCCTGAATGGTTTCTAAAAACATATCTCCTTCATTTTTTAACCTAACATTTCCCAATCCATATGCCTTAAGTTAAAATTCCCATAATTATGACTTCCTTAATGGCTGAAAGCTTAATCTCACTGTAGAGTTTCTCATTAATTTCATTAGGTGGTCTTTAACAAATTCCAAATACAAGCCTTCTCTCCTTATATCTGCCAACAGAAACTCCAACAGATTCAATCTCTTTGCTATTATCTTTCATATCCTCAACTTAAACAGGACATAACTCACATTTTACATATAAAACCACTCTTCCCCTTCTTTTTTAGTATTCTATCCATATCAAACAACCTATAATCCTGCATTTCAAAGAAGTTTTTGCCATTTAAGTTGTTTACATTTAGCCAAGTTTCAGTTATTTCCACTATATTAAAATCCTCTCTTCCAACTAGTGCTCTAAAGTCATCTTATTTTATTTTTGTACTTTTTGCATTACAATAATAACAATTTAGGCTATCCTTAAAACTACTTCTTTACTTTGTTTGATAGTAGAGTTTTCTCCGTATCTTATTTTTCTGCATTTTGTTTAACCTGACCTTCACCACTATTTAGTTCTAGTTCATAGCTGCCCTTACTGCTGAGTTAATACCCTTTGCAAACAAGCCAGTTGCTACCTCATTTACATGTAAACCATACATTCCAAAAAGCTTCCTTTTACCATTGAAATTATCCCACAAGTCCAACTAGCCAATATACTAATCCTTCCTTGTTAACTTAGGCATAACATTCGTCCTTATTGATTTAATTTATAATTTCATCCCCACAATTAAGTCTCAATAAATCTTTTGTTCATAAATCAAGGTCTGAGAATCAAATATTAGTATCTGTATCTGTTTAAAGTGATGAATGATAGAAATATAAAAATCAGAAAACAAAAACATTTTAATACATACCAGTACTCTTTTTCTTCCAAGAAGACTCTGACATACTTGCTGCCTGAGAGAAGACATTAAACCCTTTGTAATCATAAATTTAATGGCTAATGAATTGGCATAAATATTGTTGCGTCAGCGAGGTCATGTGACTAGTATCATGCCACGTCCTTCTCGAACCTTCGTGAATTGTCGGGAGACTACTAGATTGGGGGTAGTATTGTATATATAAGACGGTCACAAAGTGATGGCAACAATGAATGTGTAATTGAACTAAGTATTGTTGGAGTCGAGCATGTGAGACGTACGTTGAGAATTATAGCG